TGCCGGGTTTTATATTCAGTGGGTGCTAATACCTTGCAATCTGATACAAGATAATCAATTGTTTCTGGATATTTATCACAGAATCTGCATTTTGAGCCAACACAATATTTTAGCACGTGATAATTTCTCGTTAACAAATACTGGTCCCGTGTAGCAAGGATAAAACCTTCGGTTTCAGCTTTTAACCTTACACTACGTAGCCACTGATGGTTACCGGGTTTCTCTACATCATCTTGTTTGATACGGGCAGAGGATTGACCGTGAAGTGGTTTATCTTGATGTGGTTTCTGTACCTGGTCGGTTGCATTTGCTTTTGCTTTCTTTTTTAAGTATTTTGCAGCTTCAGTCGGCGTATTGTGCTTTACTTGTATTTCTGCACGCATTTGAAACTCCATTTTGAACTTGTTGCCTTCTTTTATTATTATTATTATTATTATTATTATTATTTTCCTTTGGTTTCTGGTGTATACTCATTTCTTTCCGGATACCACCCAGAGACCTAACGTCAGAAATGGAATCATGACATTTTTCACTTAACCCCCCCCCCCCAAATCAACATATTTTACATCTTCCTAAGGTGGGGGCTGTACTCGTGAGAACAATATTTTGTATTTCTTTAAGGCATGGGCTTCCAGGAATCCCTTCAATTAGTCTACTGGAATCTTTTTCAATAAATGCGAGGTCTCCAACTACAACAGGTATTGTTGATGTTCCCATTTTTGAGATTTTGATTTCAAGGTCCTTATTATTATTATTATTATTATTATTATTATTATTATTATTAATAATAATAATAATATTGTTATTATTATTATTATTATTATTATTATTATTAGTTTTATTCCATGTTATTATTTTTACTCTTTAAAATAAGCATTTTAGTAGCATTGTTTTACTAGCGGCACCCATGGAATTTTCAATGATTTCCTATTTTAATATTCTGATGAATCTTAATTCTTAAATTAATGTTTGAATAATCTCATGACGAGTTCTACGAAATTAAAATATCTGTAGCAATTCCCCGATAGCATGGTTAAATATCTGAGATTAACAAAACAAAATGTTGCAATCATAAAGATAAATATGAAAGCTGCGAGCATCGCGAATTGGTATAATCGTTGTCAAAATTGTCTCGCTAGAACGGTTACGACTGGTCAGTGATTTCAATCCTCATTGGGTACCGCACAACTTTAGCCTTGTGCCACATGTAAGCCACGCATAGGATATCACCATAAATGTAGATGCTGGTCGTTATTTAAAGAAGTAAGAGGGTACAAATGAACAGATTTGGAATTTACAACTTTTACCTTTTCACTGAAAGAGTTAGATAATACTATCTTCCCTTCTTTCTTTCTTTATTTACCACATTGAAACCAAGTAGCGTCTCTGATATGTATTTTCCGTCATTCAACGCAATCAAAACGGAATAGTCTCTCCTTTATGAGGTATTGACACGTGACGTGAAACATTTCTATCTATCTATCTATCACTGAAACCAAGTACCGATTCTGATATGTCTTTTCCGTCATCCCACGCGATGAAATCGGAATAATCCATTATTTATGAGGTATTGGCAAGTGACGTAAAACACTTCTTTGTTTGTTTGTTTGTTTCTTTCTTTCTTTTTCTCACTGAAAGCAAGTAGCGTCTCTGATATGTTTTCCTGTCAGTCCACGCGATCGAAACGGAATCATCCATTATTTATGAGGTATTGGTAAGTGACGTTTAATATTTTTATCTTGCCTTCAACTTTCTTTTTTTTTTTTTTTCTTTCTTTCTTTCTTTCTTTCTTTCTTTCTTTCTTTCTTTCTCTGATAAACGGAATACTCAAAATAAAACAGTCTATTATTCAGGAGGTATTGGCAGTGCGTTCCTTCCTTTCTTTCAATGAAATCACGCGAACAATACGGAACAGTCCATTATTTATTAAGTATTGGCAGTGCGTAACATTTGTGCAAGCTAAATAGGGAACTGAAAGAGAGGCAAACAGATTTATAATTAAATGTATTTTTAGTCGCTTTGCCCATTTTTTTTTTACCCTCGATGTTTGCTCTGATGAGAGGGGAATGATCAACCGGTTTAAATCGTTTATTACCATTTTACGGTAATATATATTTTTGTCACTCCTTTTTCGTTATAAATTGTTTCTTTGTTTGTTATGAAATGTATTTTGTGTCTTTGCTTTTATTGCTCTTGACCAGTGTTTCTTAACCTTTTGAAGCAGCGACACACCCAGGAGCAAATGAAAACATCACGGCACATTTAGCAAAATTTTTAAAGGGTATACATAAAAATCTTATCAAATAAAACCGTATGTTTTTTTAAAGTACACACACAAATATGAACGTATTTTATTTCAATGTTTCTATTGAACAATTTGTGCAGCTTATTTAATGTTAAACCTGTGCCTGGTGTTTTTTTCTCAAATTCTTCAATGTTTTAGCGAAATGTGCGACAAACAAACCCCCGTTTCTTCTTCAGTTGAGTGTAGTCTTTCTCGATTCTTATTTTAAATGTCATTTAGAGTTCAGAAGCATCATTTACATAAATAAGAAGTAGAAAATTGTAATAAAACTGATAAAGCCTTTTTAGCTGATGTGGGATGTTCATTTTATATTGAGATCCACAATGTATCAATAGGTACCGTATTTTGAGCCCTCGATCGCTGGAAATGTTGGTCAATTCTTGTTCTTCACATGACTGAAGTCCACTATTAGAAGGAACATTTATGAAGGGATTTCGAATCCAATCATACTTCTCTGTGCTCAGTGACAGAAAATAATAGTCAATGTTTTCTTCGAACACTTTCAGATGAGTAACCATTATTTGAATTAAATAGTTTAATATCTATTCATTTATTCAAAGACTAACGCGGTGTTTACTCATTACCCCATGAGAATGAGATGTAACACAAGGTCAGATTAATGTGGGGATCCGAGCGCGTGCACCCGGGCAGGGTCAAAAATTCCCCTCAGTCCGCGCAACCGTCGGTTGCACTGGCCTCGGTGCGAGCACCGATTCCTATCTCTGGTGCAACGAGAGGGCGCGGCCTCGGGCAGCTGTTCCCCAGGGCTGGGCACCTCTTCAGTATAATTTTCCTCTGTTGCTCCTCTGTCCTTTGACAGAGAAGCCTCTGAGCGCACTCTGTCCAACGACAGAGACGCAACTGAGAGATGATAAATAATGCGAAATCTCTCCATTTACGCGTTTTAAATACTAACGCTATACCATTACGACTTCCACAGAGACACATATATGATTCAGGTGACAATATTTTGAGGCACACTAAAGAATTTCTGCATTAGCTCAAAAGACAATATATTTAGAATTCTACTGCAACTGGAGACTTTTGATCCTTCATTATTACCGTGGTGTGTTTGAATGCCTCGTAAAATGATATCCCTTAATATTTTATCAAGTAGCAAGTCTAATTTAAGTGATTAGTCAAGCAGTTTTCTAAATCCCTCCGTCCATTAACTGTAAGGAGTTTCTAGTTTTAGTCAAAATATCTGTGTGAATTACAAGCGATTTTATTTGTTTACTGAAAATAAAATGAAACCTATTTTTGCGTATCTGACTTATAAGACACTTACAAATTCATTTTTCATATTGGCCTTTTAATTCGATTTATCAACATAAAACATTTCTTTTCTCTTTCATTTATATTTATCCGATAGAAACGAAAAACAACGCTTAAAATAGCATAAATATATTTCTTTTTACATTAAGGCTCGCCATATACAAGTGATCCGGGGAGGAGGGGCGCGTTCGAAGTAGAGGGTTTCTTTAAAAGGTATTTTATACGGAGAGGAAGGGAAGATAACTCTAGACTTAAACAGATTAAGATTGCAGTGATCGGGAAGACATTTTCTTGGGAGTCGGTTCCACGTAGCAGTGGTTCGCAGAAAGAAGCTGTTTGAGTGGAACTACTTTCTCACAGATGGAATACGGATGCAATATCGATGATTTGTTACAGTGTAAGAGTCCTGATCGTGATGGTTAGACGTGACGGAATCAAGGAATATAGTTCGTCCGAGAACTTTCCATGGAAGTAGCGATGGAACAGTGAGAAACTCGCCACATCCCGTCTGTGAGAAAGTGAGGACTGGGCAGCTCCTGCCCAAATATAAAAACAACACTCCATTTTTTGGCCTGATCTGGCTCTTGTAAAGGTAGACGATAGCATGAAGAGTCATGTACAGGGAACTGATCAATTTACCTGCATCTTTAGTGATGGATCGTATATAAGAGTTACATGTGTTTGATCGCAATTTGTCTCGGGGGCGCTTCTGGATCCTATCGAGAGTGGAAAGTGAGGTCTGAGAAGCTCCTGCCCAAATATGACAACAGTACTCCATTTTCGGCCAAATTTGGCTCTTGTAGTACTACAAGATATCACGAGGAATCAAGTCCTTATTAGATGGCTTCAAGAACCGAACATTTTAATTGCATCTTTAGCAACGGATTGTATATATACGCGTTCCACTTGAGGCCAGGTATAATTTAAGGCTCAATAGTCTCTTTAGGGACGTTGTCTCCCCGAGGGGACATTCATTCATCGCGACTGGCGGTACTTCGGGGTCCGATCGCCGTTAGTGATATACTGATGTACTCTTTTCTGTGGGGTGTTTTAGAAAGCCACAGAACTACAGCTGTGACAGTGTACTAGGACTTACGGGTGGTTAATCAATTAAAAAAATTTTTCGGACTATTCTTTTTTTGATAGAGATCAGATTTTAAATCGGATTTTACAAGTGTACAAGTTTTGAATTAATTTTGGATAGAGTTTCGTGAACTTAACGATAGTAAAAGAAAAAATAAACACACACACACTTATAAAATACTGCTACTAATTTTCTCCTACTCTTCCAAATAGTAATTCTTGAAATAAAGAAAAACTTATAGGGATAAAGGATTTTGAGACCTTTTTTTTATCATGCCACCTGGATTTTTTGCGATCTACCCTTATTAACGCACGGTCCGTCCTCTTAGCTATCTACAGCTAACATCTGGGTGGCTTGGAGGAGGTCGGGACTTCTTTTCAGGTGCACACAACAGGAAGGAGGAAACTCGAATTTCGTCGGAGAGCGACGCCCTATCTGGTAAGGGAGGTAACTCCGGACGCTCAAGGTGGGCATATGTCTCCTACTGATCCTGTGAAGTTAAAATGTCTTCCTGTTACCGGTCGTGCTTAATAGTATGAAACTTTATGGAGCCGATGTAACTTTCGTCATCTGTGTGATGTTCGGTGCCAGGAAGAAGAAGAGTGGTAGCTAGGTAAGAAGAATTACTTGCGTTTTGTTTTTTCTTCGATTTCTTTTCCTTCTCTAAATACTGATAAAATTTGTTTTTAACATGTGGACATCTTGCATATTCATGACGAATAACGACCAATATCAACGCTAAAATATCCTGTTTGTATATGTGCTGAATACAATAGCTAAAAAATGATCACTTCGACGTTGTGTAATGGTTAGCAAGATGCCTCGATAGATCAATAGTGACTTCGATCCTTCACTATCTCTTCCGTATTTTCAGCTTTGTGCCACATCTAAGCTGCGCTTTGTAAATCACGAAAACCTCAATCAAAACGTCAATCATTTTGATAGTTTTTTTAATTACTATTTTAATTATTTGGTTGTGTGATTAGCCCACAAAGCGTTTGAAAAAATATAATCCATCGTGATTTGCTTTTAAGATTCGATAACGTCACACCTTATCATTTGGTATGCTGTCTGTGTATTATTCTTTCTTCTTGAAGCCTAGGTCTGTTGAAATATAGGTTTCTTTCATTCCACGAAGCCGTTAAATACTCAAAGACAAAGTGGCACTATAATGTGACTTGTTTTTAAATTTTATTAATTACTGTTATTGTCTATATCTTAAGATGTAATAATTATTTGTAAGAATCAAAACATAATAAGAATCAAGAATTTGTAAGAATACTGTTTATTTATTTTGAGCCTGATGTAAGAAGTAAACACTACGACAGTAATATATACATGCATAATAACGGTAATTCTTACAACTTCTTGATTCTTATTATGAACTGATCTTTATTATGATTCTTGATTCTGATTATGTCTTGATTTTTATTATGATTCTTGATTCTTATTATGTCTCGATTTTTATTATGATTCTTAATTCTTATTATGTCTTGATTTTTATTATGATTCTTGATTCTTATTATGTCTTGATTTTTATTATGATTCTTGATTCTTATTATGTCTTGATTTTTATTATGATTCTTAATTCTTATTATGTCTTGATTTTTATTATGATTCTTAATTCTTATTATGTCTTGATTTTTATTATGATTCTTAATTCTTATTATGTCTTGATTTTTATTATGATTCTTGATTCTTATTATGTCTTGATTTTTATTATGATTCTTAATTCTTATTATGTCTTGATTTTTATTATGATTCTTAATTCTTATTATGTCTTGATTTTTATTATGATTCTTAATTCTTATTATGTCTTGATTTTTATTATGATTCTTAATTCTTATTATGTCTTGATTTTTATTATGATTCTTAATTCTTATTATGTCTTGATTTTTATTACGATTCTTATTATGTCTTGATGTGGAACCATGCATACCTAGCGAGCTGAAAAGAAATATTCATAAATATATGATTTGTTTTTTACGGTTTGTCAACCATTTGATAATTATTTAGGGCTGAAAAATATTTCGGGTTTTAGGAATAATTCTTTCTTTACGTTCAAGCGATCTGAAAGAAGGAAAGAGAAAACGAAGAAGAAAGAAAGAAAAAATAATACGAAAACAGGTCATAGGCGAGCACACACACGCTCGGCTGACAGATAACAGGTGTCGAAAATATCCAGGTCAAGCATCTAACCGAGATCTGGGGAAAATGGAAGTTGTTATCAATTGGTTGAAGAAACGAAGTTTAGAGACAATGAAAAAAACTATTGATAAATAACAAGTGAACAGTGTGTCATTGGGATGATAGTAAAAGTCTAAGTGGGTGGGGAAGTGTATCTAAGGATATGAAAGCAAACCATTAATACGAAAACCCAGACAATCTCTAGAATTGGAAAAAGCCACACAAGATGATGTCGCTGAAAATTTGTTTTTGAGATAATAAAGATTTTTATTATCGGCCCTTCGGCCGGAGGTGAATGAAATATTTTTATTTCGTTCGGCAAAACGCCAAAAGGTCTGAGAAATTCCTTTCTTAGATCATATCCAATTAGCGATAAACTGCTTGACAAATACCACGTGTTAAAAAGCCGAAGGTGTCATCGCAGTCGCTCATGATAAGGGCGATTTAATATTTTGTTTTTTTTAGCAAGGTGTTTCTTTCCCCAAAAACAAAGCCACGGATTGTCCACACCCGACTAAAGACGTCATTGGCTAAATAAGATCACATGACACACGAAGGAGGAGGAAAGATACCCGACCAGGACCTCATTGGCCGAAAGCGGTCACATGACATACGAAGAAGCGAAAGAAGCGGGTATACGCCCCTCAGAGGCACAGTAAGGAAGTGGGAGTGAAAGTGAGTTACCGAAAATGGAAAATCCCTAACCAGAAATAAGAAGGGTGGATACGTATTTAGAATTATCGAAAAAAAAAACCCTGGCGCCGACAGACCCACCCCAGTTTTGACTGCGTCAATAAAAGCGGGACCCCAACCGACAGAAATCGGAGATGAGTGACCAGTAATTCAGACTCTGAAGGGAAGAAGTTTGAGTTGGAGTTTGAGCAGCGGACGGCGAAAAAGTTTTGAGCCGTGGACGACAAGCAGAGATGAGCGCCCAGTGTTGAAACCGCGTCAAGATAGCTGACCAAGATTCACGCACACTTCTGGACTCTTCTTCAACCAAGAACAAGTAGTTTGAAGAGCGACTTAGAATCAGACCACAGAAATAAGTTTTTTTTCGACTTTCGTCCAAGGACACACCGAAACACAAATTTCTTAGAGAGCAGATAAGCCTTAAAGTTGCCTAGTAAAAGCGTCGTGCCACAATCCACAGAACGGGTCGGGAAGTAGACATAGTCCTATGTACCGAGCAAATAGGCATAAAAAGTTTGTTACCTTTTTCTTGATACGTTGGACCTTGTGAGTTTTTATCTTATATTTTTTTAAATACATAATTGTGTGTTATCACCCCCGTTAGACTCAACTTGCATTACGGCCCCAAGCCCTGTTTGATCTCGTCTGTCTAAGATCAAGTCACAACGTGGGTAGGCAGACCGGAGATCAGTGCAGTTACCCTGGTAACCAGGCGTTGGAAGCGGGTTGGGAACGACGAGGCTGGTATCAATCTAACCAAAGGGTTAGAACGTCACGTTTGGAGCAGCGAGGAGCGAACAGCTGACGCCGCGGCAAAAGACGTCACAGCTGGTGCTGTCCGTGACCAGGATATCAGAGCCTGGGGAGCACGTGACGTCACAATTGGCGCCGCGACCGGGATCGAACGACACAGTCGACGCTGCGACCGGGGGACGACGTCACATTGATTTTTATTATGAGTCCTGATTCTTAATATGTCTTTATTTTTATTATGATTCTTGATTCTTATTATGTCTTTATTTTTATTATGATTCTTGATTCGTATTATGTCTTGATTCCTACAAATTATTATTACATCTTAAGATATAGATAATAACAGTTAACAAGCTTGTCTCACTTGATCAATTACGAGTGAGTTATCGAGATTTATTATTGGCGGCCACAATCATAACAACATAAGATAGCAAACGACATGTTGATAGGAGAGATAAAATTTTTATTTTTTTGTTATATATTATATATATATATATATATATATATATATATATATATATATATATATATATATAAATGACAATAGGAAAACTATAATTATTGCTGACGCGTTTCGTCCAATGGTCGACTTTCTCAAAGCAAAAAACGAAATGAATTTAATTAAGGAAAGTAACTAATACTAACAAAGAATTTTCTTAGCGACTGGAAGAATGTAGAGAACGCTATTTTCATATTGTTAACAGAAAATAACGCCAGTTACTGGCACGTGTGGAGAATATTGTAATTATAGCTGTGTTGACGGATTCAACCATTTTCTTTTGATTTTACGATATTGTTGTGTACGTTTGTTTGGTAGAGCAGTAATTTTGTTAAGAACGGTGAATTAGGGAAAAAGCCTGGGCGTAGATTAATATTTGGGTAATATTCTATGGCGGTACTCTCTAGAATTTTTCTTCTGAGTGAGTTGTTTTCTTTTTTTATGAGTGTAGCATTTTTAAAATCAAAATTATGGTTGAATTTATTTCTATGTATGACTAGTGCATTAGCTAAGTTGTTTTCTGTGAGGTCTCTTTTGTGTTCATAATTGCGTTTTTTTAAATTTCTACTTGTTTCTCCAATATATTGGGAGGAACAGTTTTGGCAATTTATTTTATAAATGCCTGCTTCAGAAATATTATTGCTATTAGTGTTTGAAGATTTTAGTATATCCATAATGGTTTTGTAAGTGTTTGTGACTATTTCAAGATTAGTTAGATGGGATAGGTTATTCTGGATAGTGGACGTGATAGAGTTGGTCGGTAGTATAATATATCTGATTTCATGTGATTTACTATTGCGGATTATGTTATTAGTTTTGTTTCGGTTGTATATTTTGTATGTCTTTCTTCTTGCGTTGTGGATGAAATGATATGGGTATTGTAGGTTTTTGAATGTGTTTTCTATGTATGTTTCTGCTTTAAGTAAATATTGGGGACTACAGATTCTTAATGCTCTTAGATAGAAACCTATAATAATTCCAGATTTTTGAAGAGTGGTTTGAGTAGAAACTAATCAGATCATTTTTTGTAGCCTTTGTGTAAACGTCAAAATTGAGTTCGTTATTATTTCTATCTAACAAAATGTCCAGAAACGGAAGAGTGTAGTTGGTTTCAGTTTCGAAAGTGAAGTTTATTTTAGGTTCAATGTTGTTAAGTTTATAGACGACTCATTATTAATTGTTATGGAACCTTACCCATAATAACATAATGGACTATTCCATACGTAATAAATACTGCGCCTCAAGAGGAAGCAGAGAGTTCAGTTCGAAGTCGGGCGACCGGCTGACCGGCTGATCGGTTGAACTCTCTGCCTTTGTGGCGGGGTGGAACCCGAACGAGGTA